AAGAGAAGAGAATATATATATAACATACTAATGAAGGGCACACAATGTTAATACAATGAAATTCACAGGTATAGCACCATTTAATGTACATTTTTATCTCTTTACAATTACATCAAATACATGTATGTACAATATATCACTAAAAATTATATCAATGATAACTGAAAATGTAGAAAATCTATTACACATGAGAAATAAAACACACATTATGTTCATTTTTGCACCACAGAAAAAATAACTTAATAAATTGTATACAATTTCAATGGTTTATGTGAAATATATATATATGAGATCTGATTTAAAGAAAGCAAGCACCTGTTGTAAAAATCATTTTACATTTTCTTTGGTTTTCTATGAAAAAGTCAAATGGCAAAGATTTTCATATCATTAGATTGAAGATTAAGGAGCTGACATTTGATAAGAAAGGTAAGCAAGATCTGTCATAGGTAGTCTCTTCCTATAACACAATTATTATTAAGTCCATTAAATAACAACAAATGATTGTAACAGGATGCTGTTACGAAGTCTCCCAAACGAAGCTCCCATAATTCGTAATTCCCAGGGTCACGTGACATTGGGCAAAGTCCAGTGAAAATTGGTTTGGTCCAGTAAAGTTATATGCATTAGTGATGCCTGGGGATTAACCTTGTATATCATTCAAATCATCTTGGCATGACAAACCAGAATATATATGGTTTAGGGGTGGGGATCTCGACCATTTACAAGATACTAGAACATTGGGGGTGGGGAGGAACCCCTGGGGACTGACTCTATACGTCATTCAAATGTTCATTACATGACGAACAGGAATATATATGGTTTAGGGATGGGGATCTCAACCATTTACGAGATATAAGAACATTGGGGGTGGGGGGAACCCCTGGGGACTGACCGTATAAGTCATTCAAATGTTTGAGACATGACAAATAGGAATATATATGGTTTAGGGGTGGGGATCTCAACCATTTACAAGATATTAGAACTTTCTCAAATGGCAGGGGGACGGGATGACCCCTGGGGACTAACCCTGTATATCATTCAAACCATCTTCGCATGACAAACCAGAATATATATGGTTTAGGGGTGGGGATCTTGACCACTTAGAAGATATTAGAACTTTCTTAAATGGCAGGGGGTGGGGGTGACCCCTGGGGACTAACCCTATATATCATTCAAACCATCTTAGCATGACAAACCAGAATATATATGGTTTAGGGGTGGGATTTTGACCACTTACAAGATATTAGAACTTTCTTAAATGGCAGGGGGTGGGGGTGACCCCTGGGGACTAACCCTGTATTTCATTTGATGTGCTTTATCATGACAAACCAGAATATATATGGTTTAGGGGTGGGGATCTCGACCATTTACAAGATATTAGAACTTTCTCAAATGGCAGGGGGTCGGGATGACCCCTGGGGACTAACCCTGTATATCATTCAAAAGATCTTAGCATGACAAACCAGAATATATATGGTTTAGGGGTGGGGATCTTGACCACTTACAAGATATTATAACTTTCTTAAATGGCAGGGGGTGGGGTGACCCCTGGGGACTAACCTTGTATTTCATTTGATGTGCTTTATCATGACAAACCAGAATATATATGGTTTAGGGGTGGGGATCTCGACCATTTACAAGATATTAGAACTTTCTCAAATGGCAGGGGGTCGGGATGACCCCTGGGGACTAACCCTGTATATCATTCAAATGATCTTAGCATGACAAACCAGAATATATATGGTTTAGGGATGGGGATCTTGACCACTTACAAGATATTAGAACTTTCTTAAATGGCAGGGGGTGGGGTGACCCCTGGGGACTAACCCTGTATTTCATTTGATGTACTTTATCATGACAAACCAGAATATATATGGTTTAGGGGTGGGGATCTCAACCATTTACAAGATATTAGAACTTTCTCAAATGGCAGGGGGTCGGGATGACCCCTGGGGACTAACCCTGTATATAATTCAAACGATCTTAGCATGACAAACCAGAATATATATGGTTTAGAGGTGGGGATCTTGACCACTTACAAGATATTAGAACTTTCTTAAATGGCAGGGGGTGGGGTGACCCCTGGGGACTAACCTTGTATTTCATTTGATGTGCTTTATCATGACAAACCAGAATATATATGGTTTAGGGGTGGGGATCTCGACCATTTACAAGATATTAGAACTTTCTCAAATGGCAGGGGGTCGGGATGACCCCTGGGGACTAACCCTGTATATCATTCAAACGATCTTAGCATGACAAACCAGAATATATATGGTTTAGGGATGGGGATCTTGACCACTTACAAGATATTAGAACTTTCTTAAATGGCAGGGGGTGGGGTGACCCCTGGGGACTAACCCTGTATTTCATTTGATGTGCTTTATCATGACAAACCAGAATATATATGGTTTAGGGGTGGGGATCTCAACCATTTACAAGATATTAGAACTTTCTCAAATGGCAGGGGGTCGGGATGACCCCTGGGGACTAACCCTGTATATCATTCAAACCATCTTAGCATGACAAACCAGAATATATATGGTTTAGAGGTGGGGATCTTGACCATTTAGAAGATATTAGAACTTTCTTAAATGGCAGGGGGTGGGGGTGACCCCTGGGGACTAACCCTGTATTTCATTTGATGTGCTTTATCATGACAAACCAGAATATATATGGTTTAGGGGTGGGGATGTCGACTGTTTACAAGATATTTGAACTTTCTCAAATGGCAGGGGGTCGGGATGACCCCTGGGGACTAACCCTGTATATCATTCAAACCATCTTAGCATAACAAACCAAAATATATATGGTTTAGGGGTGGGGATCTCGACCACTTACAAGGTATTAGAACTTTCTTAAATGGCAGGGGGTGGGGGTGGCCCCTGGGGACTAACCCTGCATTTCATTTAATGGGCTTTATCATTTAGAACATTTTCAATTAAAAAGATTGTGTCTATCACAAACGGTTTTCAATTTATAATCATTTGAAAATTTTAAAAAATAAAATCACATAGGGTTCTATAGTAAAACCCTCTTTTCTTTTTGCCCCTCAAAGTACCCCTTTATAAACCCCATTGCACAAACAAAACCCTGATTGCACCACTAGACATGTTAGTCTAACATATTGTGAAACCCTAAGTTAATCTGACAAGCGGTTTTGGAGAACGGGTGCAGACAAGTTCAAATTTAAAAGCGGTGGAAGAAGAAGAAGAAGAAGAAGAAGAAGAAGAAGAAGAAGAAGAAGAAGAAGAAGAAGAAGAAGAAGAAGAAGAAGAATAATAAGAACTGAGCAAAAACAATAAGTCTTCCCAAACTTTGTTTGGGAGACTTAATTATTCCCCCCTCCCCCGATAAAGTTATTTATATCCCTGTTTCTAAACTGCCATCATCATTTGAGATTCAAATTGTCCAATATACAAATATGTACTAGGACTACATTTTGTGATATGGTTCATGTTTCAGGTATACATATATTTCTATTTTCTTATTCCTTATTTTTTAAACATATTGGGTGTTTTCTAAGTACATGTGAGTGTTTTCTAAGTACATGTGAGAGGATGTAATATTTTTCCATAACAATTCATTTAGAAGTAACATTTACTGAAATAGAGTTGAAAAGTCAAACTTCATCAAAGTACAAAAAAGTGTAAAATGTAAGAAACAAATCGTTATCAAAATGTATTATCATGATTATATTGCAGAAACAACTATTTTTATGTGTAATACAATCAATAGAAGTCATTCTGTGCCATCCATCAATGATTATACTGATACCAGTCATGGTTACATAGGCTTTTCAGCAAAATCAGTCACGTTTACAAACGCTTAATCACACCCCAAAAGAAAGTATGTAATTAACGATAAAGTGTATATAATATGGCTTTTTGAATATCACACACTGTAACAACCCTCAATCAATATTTTCTCTGGAACACAGCTCTCAGGATTATAAGTGTCTTGGGTTAATATGGGTTTGATATTGAAAAAGCCATATAATATTCTCTTTGTATTGTACATGTATGTTATAAAGAAGATGCAATATAGATGTGCGACTGATCAATGGTTCCTAACAATGGAACCTTTATATAAAAATTTAGCTGTCACTCAAGAATGAAATGCTGGTCAACATGACTTATATATATGACTGAATATTTCTATCAAATATTAGTTAATAATTGTACGGTATACTAAAACTAAAACTTGTTTCTGAGAAATGGACTTTAAACATAAATGAACCAAGTCTGGATTGACATGTATTCAGTACTACACATACACACACAAAATGGTTAACCTATATTATTAGCCCAATTCACATTTGCATAAAACATGGAAATCTTAGTTAAAATAACTTTTGCCATCAATGATAAAAGGGAGTTTCCCATAATATTTATTATCTATATGTAAATATTTTTTGGTATTTTAAATGTTTATGGCACAAGTCCTGTTGACTATTCTGATGAATACATAATATTTATACATATTAATTACAATAAAGATATCTATTTTTCATTGATTGTCACAATTCTGTTACTAAATTTAAGAAATATTATAAATTTTCTGTTATTCATTTCAGAAATTGACATACAGTTGTTTAACAAATTTCACAAGCTTTTTCTTAAGGTGTTATCTTGAAGTGAAAGTAACTATAGAAGTCAATTTAATTAAATTACTTAAAAATTTGTTCTAAGTGAGTAATGAATGCAATCTTAAATTATCTACCGAGAATTACTTGAGTTAAACTCAAACAAGAGGAGACTTATTCAACTTGTTTGTCAATTAAAATGGTTTTAACGTATGGTCAAATGTAAATCTTGTTATAAATTCACTTCCTGAATATAAAAAATCTTGAGCTTTTCTATAAAATTAGCCAAAGTCAGTGGAGCATGAGAACAAGGTCATTGCTAACTGTTTTTGTCCAAGTGATGACCTACAATATACTAATGAACAAGTTTTGAATAGTTTTCCAGATATTAATGCTGACACAACTAAACTTTTAAACATTTTAACTCATGAAAGGTATATTGTAGGTCATCACTTGGACAAAAATAGTTAGCAATGACCTCGTTCTCATGCTCCACTGACTTTGGCTAATTTCATAGAAAAGCTCAAGATTTTTTTTACTTTGGTTAAATTAAATATTAAATAATGTGTGTGGTTCTGGTTTCATGTAGACAAAAAATAGGATAGGTAAGCAGGGATTTTTTTTAATTTTCCATTGGAGAGACATTCATACTTTAACAGTGCTCATTTCAAAAATGACAAAAAAATCTTTAGGGTTACCTGGGTAGGCTATTTTTATTCCTTAAAAGTAGGATAGGTAGGTATACTGGAACCACACATATTTTTTGATTTGGCCTTATTGTATAAAAAAAAACCAAAATATTTCAATTGAATAGGTCTAAGAATAGTCTTGTGACAATCAATGAATTTACAACATGTTGTATAAAATAAATAAATTACATTCATAATCACAATAAACAATCACTACTTGTAGTTTTATGGTCAAAATACTGACCAATAAATGGGTTAGAAAATATTACAACCACAGAGGATCACAATCAATATATTGCTATTATTTTACACAAAACATTATTAAAAATGCATAAAATTTTAATAAAAAGTGAGAATGCTCCCCTTTGAAAATAAATAATAAAAAAATGCATAAAAAAGAGAGGTTATTTATTTAAAAAAAAATTATAAAAAGAATAAAAGTAACTGGTTTCTTGTGTAACATTGGCATGTTAAGTCAGTTATTTCAACATTATAAATTTCATGAAAGATGGATAAATATCACACATTCCTATTCATTATCAAACCTTTAAATTATATTTAGAAAATTTACAATCTTACATTTTTGCCATCTTGAACATGTTGAAGAAAAGTACAAAACTTTTGAAATTTTGAATGCAATAACTAAGAAACACTTTCTGTGCTACTACATTGTACTAGGAATAGGTCAAAAGTAGAAATTTTGATGAATCAATTTGAAATACTTCTTATTAAATGTTCAAAACGCTTGAAATTGATATTCTTGCATAAAAAAAACCCCAAAACATACAAAATATAAAATAATATTAAGATTTTTAACTATTTTGTACCTTTGAAAAGGATTGTCTTAGTTTTATAAATTCATTTCTCTGAATTAATGCATCAGTTTTTGTGATCATACAGAAAATTAATTGCAACAATAACATATATATATTACACACTGGTTTCCTTTTTGGACTTTTTAGATTTTGCCCCCTGTAAAACCCAAACATCATGCCCATAATAATCATTATCATCAGAACTTGAAGTAGAACTGTCATCATCTTCAATCATGGGACCATACTCTGCATAACGATTAATACTGTTAGAAGATTTGGTTTGTCGATCTATAAGTCCTTTGGATATAAGTTTCTCCTTCACCCTTTCAGTGTAACTATGATTAACATAAACATAAGGTATTGCTCTAATTTTTGATTGATTTTTTTCCTCGTCCCAGTCTAGTGACCTTGGTTTAGGTAAACCTTTGTGCCGAGAATGTCTTTTGTGATGATGATCACGTCTATGATGTCTCCGATAAGAAGAGTGAGACGCAGGCTCAGAGTTATGGTCAGAGTCATTTCCACGAAATTTTCTAAATTGTAATTGACTATCAGAGTCTGGTGAATGGATGATACCATTCAAAGTTTTAGTATCTGTCGGAGATAATACATCACCATTAGGAGTTTTATTATATGTTGGTGGTGGAGATTGATAACTTGGAGGTGACAGAGATTGATAACCCGGAGGTGACAGAGATTTTTGCTTTGATGTAGGTTCATTAGGAATTCGTTGATGAACTTCCTGTATGAAATTGTCATGGTTACGATGATTACGAGCACTATGATCTGACCCTCCTGATAATGACCTTCGAATATTAATTGGGTTTTGAACTTGGGCTATGTTATCGTCAATTGCTCCATATTGTTTATAAGTACAATCTCTAGATATCTTATTATTATTGCAGTTAAGATTATTCACAGATGGCATTGTTCTTTGCTCTTCACTTTGACATGATTCGGTTATCTGACTCTGTCCATCGAAATCACGCATGCGTTGGACGGATCCATTTCTCTGCATATCTTGCACAGGACTGTATGTTTTTTCACCCTTGCTTTGTTTGGGTAGTGTATTGTTTTTAGGGTGTACTGGAGTAAATGCACTAGGATGAGATTTTGTTCCTAATGAACATGAACTGGGACATCGATTAGTACTGGTGACTTGTGACTCTGGGTATGATGTTACGCTACAACACTGACTCCCAGGACCAGGGGAACTATAGCCCATATTTGATCCCACATTAGACCCTCCTACTGGAGGAATCTGGTTTCTGTGTAATGGCAACAGTGAGAAGTAAGGAGCCTGATATGGCATGCCATTTGGTGGTGGAATTGGCTGACAGTACATTCCTGGAGAAAAATTAATTGGTGATGTTGGTTTACTATTCAAACCATTCTTTGGTTGAATTTGAATTTCAATACTTAGATGTGTGTTTGTATCACTAAGATTTCCATTACACATTTTGTTTGGCCTACCGGCCTCAGATCCTGAGAAATAATCAGTGGCACTCCCACTGAAGTTTTTAAACATATCTTTGGTTATAACTTTAGAGTGGTGCCTCTTTTCCCAGAAACGTTTTGCAGCCCCGTTTTGCTTTGGGTTATAAAATACTTGTGGGTTTTCAGGTACACTCACAACTGATCCATCAGTAATTGAATTAACGGGCACCAAACTGATGAGAGATTTATCCTTGAATGTCTTATCATTCTCTTCCTGAGTGATGTTGTAATGATTTAGAGGGACTGACGATTCACCAGTCCCTTTCGAAACACTTCCATTAGGAACATCTAACTGATTAGGCACATGAAATTCCATGTCATATACTGAAGGCTGATCACACAAGAAAAATCGCTTCCAACTGGAGCATGAATCTTTACGAGACAAACAAAAATATGACAACATAAAAATCCCAAACAGGGCACAAGTAAATGCATATAAATAACTAAATATATCCTCTTGATAAGGAATCCATGATTTAAATGGTTCCGCAACAGCAATGGCGCCACACACCCAGAATAACATGTATAACAAAAGTATTCCAACCACAGAATATAACTGAGATTTAGGTCTTTTCTCCTGGTCCATGACACTTGAAACTGTTGACTGGGTATCAGACATATCCTTTGTTTGTGCCATTCTAACTGGAGTTAAAGCTTCAATCTCTGTGGTGATCTCGTCAGTAGTGTGATTTAGTTCTATGTCATGGGTTTCATCTGTTGTTATCACATTAATAGTCTCAGGTTTTATGTCTTGTACCACACAAGCAATACGTAAAAAGAACACAACGTCGAAAAGCACCAATAAAGCTACTGGACCATAAAAAGCACCCAAACTAGGATCCCATTGTAGGAAACAGCTGAAATGAAAAAGAAACAATGTTCATTAGAAGTATCATATAAGCTTTTATATCTTATATACACGTGTTAAGTTTTATCATACTGTGTACTTATGAACTGTGGATATTCACAGATACTTTGTTCATAGATTTATGTTAATGAGGTTATACCATCATACTTGAAACACTTAAAGAACAAAATCTTTCATAATTTGAAATATTGTTTTCTTTTTGTTTTAAAGTTAGAGGTATTCTAATGATAAAATCGCTGAAGATCTTATAGCAAATTATATGAACAAGTTTAATTAAGGGAGATAATCCTTGGTAAAAAGATATTTCTCAAACTTTATTGGTTCACATATATATATATTCTATTTTGTTTCTTGCTTTAATTTGTTCCATTTCCTATGCCATAAATGTACGAAGTTTTGACTTTAAAGTTATAGATTACAGTGTTAGTATGATGCTTATTCCAGTAATTTTAACATCTACTGATGTGATAATTTTTTCAAAAGATGTAATTCCATATCTATTGTGACTTGACTTGTTTGGAGGTATATACTTACTAATTAGAGTCTGCATAATGGTCTAAACTAATAGCAGCTGTAATGCCACACACAATAACAGGTACACCGTACCCAAGGAGGTAGAACCGTAACATAGGCTGAGGAGGTAAGGGCATGTTAACTGGATCAGGAGGAGGTGCTGGGGGCTTGTCAGATTTGGTAAACTTCTTTAACAGATTGCTGAAAAACAATAATCATAATTAAACTACAAAATCTATATGTGTAAGTGATAAAGTTTTCAAATGAACTGACTGTAGATTTAATGTTTTAAGTGATATGATTCTAAAATCCATTATAGCTTTTAACATGCAAAACACGTTTGTAAAGATTTTTTTTTTTTTTTTTATTTTCTACTGTTTTTTAATCACATGAACTGTTTCAAGGCTGAAAATGTTTTTTTTTATATTTACATCAAGAAAAAAATCCTTAATTATTCAGAAATGCAAAATCTCTACTTTATCTTGAACATTACAATGACACTTCGTGATTAGTGACTGGTTATTTATTTCTTTAACCAATACCTCCCATATGTATAACTTAAAAACATTTGTAACAGCTATCACATGAATATCAAAGCATATGGTTAACATTAAAGCTTGGTGCTTCAATCAGTTTTCTATAATATTGGAGGTATGTTAACAGCTTATTGTTAAAGACCTTCCAATTACTTTTAAACATAGGACACTGATGATTCCCCCTGCTTGCATATAACGTTATAAAGGGACATAACTTAGGAATGGTAAATACTTAAGTTAGAGAACAGAAACAAAGAAATCAGCAATTTTTCCATATGTAAAGGGGCATAACTCTAGAATGGTAAAAGTGACGCCATCAACATTTAAACTTGATCTGTGTTTTGTGGTAATGAGCATTGTGTATAAGTTTTATAACATTTGGTATAGGCAAACTTAAGTTAGAGAAAGGAAACTAAAAATTCAGCAATTTTCCGGGGCATAACTCTAGAAAGGTAAAAAAAGATGCCACCCGAATTCACACTTGATCTGTGTTTTATGGTAATAACCATTGTGTATACGATTCATAACATTTGGTTGAGGCAAACTAACATTAGAGAACGGAAACGAAAAATTCAGCAACTTTCCATTTGTAAATTAAAGGGGCATATCTCTAGAAAGGTAAAAGTGACGCCACCAAATTAAAACTTGATCTGTTTTTTGTGGTAATAAGCATTGTGCATAAGTTTCAAAACATTTTGTTGAGGCAAACTAAAGTTAGAGAACAGAAACCAATTTTGGGACATACATACGGAAGGATGTACAGACAGACAAGGGTAAAACATAATAAAATGCTCCGCTGGGCGCAGCTTGATACGACCACAGAGGTTGAACCCTGAACAGTTGGGCAAGTATGGACACAACATTCAAGCTTGATACAGCACTGAATTTGGATTGTGATTAAATATTTGACACAGCATAGGTTTCTGACACAGAATGAATGTGGTCTAAGAACTTAAACATTTTTAATTTATCTATTAAAACCATATCATTATTATTTGCTTTTATATATAAATCAGAAATAACCAATTTAAAAGGGAAAATTTTAAAGAAAAAAAAAGGAAAAAAAGGAAAAAAAAATCCCTCCCCCAAATTTTTTGAACCCTCTTATGATTCATCACCCCCAAACTCAATCCCAGCCTTCCCTCTATTTCAGAGAGATCCATACACTTGAACACAAGTTATTGTCTGGAAACTAGAAAAATGCTAATTTTTGGCCCCTTTTTGGCCCCTTATTCCTAAACGTTTTGGACAATTACCTCCAAACTCAATTCCAGCTTTCCCTTTATGATATGGAACCTTGTAGTACAATTTCAGAAAGATCCATACACTTACACACAAGTTATTGTCATGAAACTAGAAAAATGCTTGTTTTTTTGCCCCTTTTTTTGCCCCTAATTCCTAAAATTTTCAGGCAATTACCCCCAAAATCAATCCCAGCAGTCCATTTGTGATATGGAACCTTGTGGTACAATGTCAGAAAGATCCATACACTAACACACAAGTTATGTCTTATTATTGTCTGGAAACAAGAAAAATGCTAATTTTTGGCCCCTTTTTCCTAAACGTTTTGGGCAATTACCCCCAAACTCAATTCCAGCTTTCCCTTTATGATATGGAACCTTGTAGTACAATTTCAGAAAGATCCATACACTTACACACAAGTTATTGTCATGAAACTAGAAAAATGCTTGTTTTTTGCCCCTTTTTTGGCCCCTAATTCCTAAAATTTTCAGGCAATTACCCCCAAAATCAATCCCAGCAGTCCATTTGTGATATGGAACCTTGTGGTACAATGTCAGAAAGATCCATACACTAACACACAAGTTATGTCTGGATTTTACAAAAATGCTTATTTTTGACCCCTTTTTGGCCCCTAATTCCTTAACTGTTGGTACCATAACCCCCAAAATCAATCCCAACCTTTCTTTTTGTGGTATTGAACCTTCTGGTAAAATTTCATAGAGATCCATTCACTTAAACTAAAGTTAGAGTGCGAAAACCAATGTGTCTTCGGACGACGACGACGACGCCAACGTCATACCAATATACGACCGAAAATTTTTTTGCGGTCGTATAAAAACAGCAGGAACACCGGCATTGGTTTTCGGTTGCAGTCTCTGGTCTTAATTATGTTTTATGTAAGGTATTTTTCCTAGTTTTTCGTGAGATGTAGTCTTTTACCCCATATCTCCTTTCAATACACACATATGATCCATTAATTTTACTAAAATCTTGATTGTTTTATATACTTACTAAGCTGTGATAGTGACCCAGAACATGGCACATAGCGTTAAGTAATGTATAAATATACCAACAATCTGGCATGCTAGATAATGGTCCATTCTTTTAACACCCATCGTAAATGTTATAATTAGAAGTAATGAACTAATGCAAATATTAATGACTGAATGCTTCATTTTCTTTGGCACATTTATAAATCTGAAAAAAAAATACAATAAAATTGTAATCATCATATAACAATAAACCAGTTGTTGATGAAAACTTGAATCATTAAACAATTCAACTAATTACACATTTGTTTTATAATGTATCTTTATGGACGATCAAGTCAACAATCTTTTGAAAAATTTTCTACAGATACATATTTTTTTTCAAATACTACAGTTGCTACTTTGGATGATACTCAGATAAAGTTAATTGTAGCTGGATATGGCTATAAAGCTCCCTATTTTTCAATGTTAAAAATTTTGGCTTATAAATGTTTTTTTTTTATTATTAGACTTATCACCAGGTTTGTACTTACATAAGCAACACAATGGGTGCCACATGTGGAGCAGGATCTGCTTACCCTTCCGTAGCACCTGAGATCACTCCCAGTTTTTTGTGGGGTTTGTGTTGCTCAGTCAAGTTTTCTATGTTGTGTTTTGTATACTATTGTTTGTCTTTTGATCATTTTTCGTTTTTTGCCACGGCATTGTCAGCTTGTTTTGGACTAATGAGTTTGGATGTCCCTTTCACATCTTTAGACTATATTTTTCACTATATCACTCTTTTTCTACCACCATTTTTTCTATGTATTCAAAGGAATAACTGTTAACATTTCATCCTCTTTTGTTCCTGCACCTTTTTAAGTTAACTCATGGCTATCTTATGTGTGACAGCTGGTCAGTGGTGACCAATACCTACCTAAAACAGGATACATATGTAACAATGACAGCCATAAGACACAGAATACACACACAGCTACCAACATATACTGCTGGCTTCATTAAATGTAACATCTTAAGTAAACCCAAATCATCAGCAACGTGTTCCTGAAAGCACAATATACAATAGTTCTTGATCAAATCAAGAGAGACTACAGATAAACCTTTAAATTCCCTAATTTATATTTCATTACCTTAATAATAAACTTCAACCCATTATTTTCTCCACCTTTTTCTATTTAAAATAATTCTCCATCAGAAACAGAAAAATTGAGAATATATGTTCAAATCTATAACCCATTCCTCACTTCCTTTTTTCCTAGCAATGAAACCTTACTCCAAAACTTTTAAAGTAGAAAAACAATGAAAATGTATGAGAACTCTCCCCCTTTTCTCTGTATTTAAAACCTACCTCCAAAATTACAAAGCTTGACAGGTGATAGCAATGTACAACAGCTGACCCATTGGTAATACTTTGAAGAAGACAGCCATCTGTATTCCATTCTCCTAAGCCATCTACAGTGAGCAATAGTACATGGATAATGTTATGCAAATATATTAATACATAAATATTATATGGAAATTTTGACATAAAACAAATGCAGCTGTCATTTAAACAAAGGATCTGCAGGGGAAACCTCATCACTTAATGTATAGTTATTACAACATATTAACACATATTAAAACAAATCAACTTGTACAATACTTAACCAGGCTAAATACACAGACATTGATTCACTGGAAAGGTAATTGTGTCATATTTTTTTTTAATACTTATTAAGGAAACTTGTACTGTTGAAACAGAACAAAATATCATTTAATAGCAAAGTTAACAATAATTGATTTTTTTAAAAGTACATATTTTAAAAGTATATCTCCATCTTTCCCATTTTCTATAGGCTTGTATGCTTGTAAGCATTCTTTGACAAAACCAATCCAATATTAATCAACGAAAATAATGGACACCTCAGTACATTGTACTTTCTATCACTTTGGCTTTTATTTTTATGCAGGTAAAACTAACAATTAAAATAAATAATTCATACTTTTTATTCATTGACAATAATAAGTAAACAATCAAAATTACCATTAGCCTCAAAGTTCCAGTAAGCTGAATACAACTTTTTAGACTTAGCTCTGATCTTAAAGGTCAGCACAATAGGTTCTGTCAAGTTGTATATGGGGGTTGCTGTAAATATACAATGGTGAAGCTGAAAATATGAACTACAGAGCAAAACAGATAAAATGACATCTAATAAAACAGTCCCTTACATTTACCACAGAGTGCAAAATGTAATCTGATCTCTGATACAATTGATATACATGTATTTGTAATTCAATATTTAAATAAAATACCAGAATCTTCTTATAAATATAACATTTGTTTTATTGTTGAATTATGTAAAAGCTAAATATGTCAGTAAGAAATGCCTGCCCCTGCCTGCAGTCTTATCACAACAAGTCATCTTTAACTGATCATTATATATTACTGTACCAAAAACATTTCCAGATCTGCAGGCATTACAAAAGAAAAGTACACAGACAAGAGTACAATTTTTCTAAAATTTTCTATATTGAAGGGCTGTACCAGTAATGCTGTAAAAAATCAGTCAACCAGAACCAATCACACACTACACTTGTAATTCACCATTAAAACACTAATGTTCCAAATCTGCAGGCATTATGAAAAAAATCAGGGCAACTTGAGTTTCAGGTGACAGAATGACAGCACATTGGTAATATTGAAGTATAACGTGTTGGGTATTGTATAGGATATGGATAAAAACCTTACAACAACAACTAGAGGCTCTCAAGAGCCTGTGTCGCTCACCTGATTCTACTTTGGTTTTGGAAATCATGTAAAAATAGATTAAAATCATAACAGATACCCTAATAATGAGTGAGGCCAAATTTGGTTTAATATTGGTCCTATAATTTAATAAAAAATCCTGGTGGCCATCTTGAACAGTAAATCGGCAACAAAGTAGCAACACTTCATCAGCACCTCATAAGAAACATTTATGCCATGTTTGGTTTCATTCCATTCAGTGCACCTCTAGAAGAAGCATTTGTATGTATTTCCCATAGGGTCTTATGTTAAAGGAAGTCCCCCCACTGGCGGCCATCGTGGATGAAGGATCAGCTTCAAAGTAACAACACTTAGTCAGCACCTCATAAGGAACATTCATGCCATGTTTGGTTTCAATCCATCCAGTATGTGGTTCTCTAAAAGAAGACATTTGTATGTATTGTCCATATGGTCCTTTGTTAAACATTGTCCCCAGCTGGCGGCCATCTTGGATGATGAATCGGCTTCAAAGTAACATCACTTCATAAGGAACATTCATGCCATGTTTGGTTTCATTCAATTCAGTGGTTCTCTAAAAGAAGACATTTGTATGTATTTCCCATAGGGTCCTATGTTAAACTAAGTCCCCCGCTGGCGGCCATCTTGGATTATGGATCTGCTTCAAAGTAACAACACTTGGTCAGCACTTCATAAGGAACATTCATGCTATGTTTGGTTTCATTCCATTCAGTGGTTCTCTAAAAGAAGACATTTGTAAATATTTCCCATAGGGTCCTATGTTAAACTAAGTCCCCCTGCTGGCAGCCATCTTGGATTATGGATTGGCTTCAAAGTAACAACACTTGGTCAGCACCTCATAAGGAACATTCATGTCATGTTTGGTTTCATTCCATTCAGTGGTTCTGTAAAAGAGGACATTTGTATGTATTTCCCATAGGGTCCTATGTTAAACTAAGTCCCCTGCTGGTGGCCATCTTGAATGATGGATCTGCTTCAAAGTAACAACACTTGGTCAGCACCTCATAAGAAACATTCATGCCATGTTTGGTTCCATTCCATTCTGTGGTTCTCTAAAAGAAGACATTTGTAAATATTTCCCATAGGGTCCTATGTTAAACTAAGTCCCCCGCTGGCAGCCATCTTCGATTATGAATCGGCTTCAAAGTAACAACACTTGGTCAGCACCTCATAAAGAACATTCATGCCATGTTTGGTTTCATTCCATTCAGTGGTTCTCTAAAAGAAGACATTTGTATGTATTTCCCATAGAGTCCTATGTTAAACTAAGTCCCCCGCTGGCGTCCATCTTGGATGATGGATCTGCTTCAAAGTAACAACACTTGGTCAGCACCTCATAAGGAACATTCATGCCATGTTTGGTTTCATTCCATTCAGTGGTTCTCTAAAAGAAGACATTTGTATGTATTTCCCATAGGGTCCTATGTTAAACTAAGTCCCCCGCTGGCGGCCATCTTGGATGATGGATCGGCTACAAAGTAACAACACTTGGTCATCACTTCATAAGGAACATTCATGCCATGTTTGGTTTCATTCCATTCAGTGGTTTAAAATGTAAAAAGTTAACGACGACGACGGACGACAACGGACGACGACAGACGACGGACGCCAAGTGATGAGAAAAGCTCACTTGGCCCTTTGGGCCAGGTGAGCTAAAAATGAAAGGAACAAATTGGACCTAAAATTTTATCTTTTTACGAACAGAGGGCAAGGTAAAATATAGGTTTTGATTCTCCAATATCCTGATTTTTACAATGTGATAAGAATGAACAGTTCAAAAACCAGTTAAGATAGATTATCACAAATTTTCTCTAATATTTTTTAGTAGAAAGTTTCTTTGGAAAATAATCTTACAATCATTAGTATTGTAATAAAGGTCAGTTGTTTTGTTTAAAAAAACAAACAGTACAAAGTAAGTGAAGAGGCATTAAACAGAAGAATGTAATATATGATCATCATCATCTCTAAAATATAAAGACAAGTTGTTCTTCATAAAAAATGTCAAATTTTAATGGATCTTGTCATAATGCAAGACATAAATCAAAACTCTTATGTATGTTGGGTGGTCAATAGATATAAGAAGATGTGGTATGAGTGCCAATGAGACAACTCTATATATATTGTTTTAAATAGTCCTATAAACAAGGAATTATTTGAATCTGGAATAATTTTGAGTTCTTGAAAATTGATCTGAAATGTATAATTAAAACTAACCCAATAAAGGATGGTAAGCCATGCATCATGGCTAAGGGTGGTTAGTTAGTTCATACTGAAATATCAGTGAAAGTAACTTTAACCTTAGCCATGGCTAACCCATTTAGTTAGGTTAGTTTTCATCATACATTTCTCATCAATTTTCCAGAATTCAAAATAATTCCAGATTCAAACAATTCCTTGTTTTTGGTGCATAGTTATATGACAATAAATATAGGTACTGGTATCATAATCACAGTATATCCTTTGATTAAAGAAGTAGATACTCACAGATATTAACAGTCAGTACTGGTGACACAGCAGTCAGAACTTTTCCTTGCAATAAAGGATCCTTTGGAGAGACAGTGATGGGAAATAATGAAGGCTCCTTGTAAGCCACAAACTGGAAAGTAACAGAATCGTCTAATGCTATCTCTGTGTTGTTCCTTATTAAGGATTTTGGCAAGTAGACAAATCCCTGAAAAAAAGGAAAACATAAATCTTCTTTCATAAATACACAATATTCAATGAAGTTTGGTTACAAACATTTTTTTACTTAAAAAGTAGCAATCAATTTTAGTAAATATCCCAATGGACAAATTCTGAACTGTTACAAGATTCTTTTTTGTATTGAAAGAACTTGTATGAATCCTTTTGTAACTGTCTGGTTTACCAAAGTGAGTTACCCCCAAGGTTTGTAACTGACTGAGAAACCCGAAGGTTTGTAACTGACTTAGCAACCCCAAGGTTTGTAACTAACTGAGTAACCCACAGTTTGTTACTGACTGAGTAACTCTCAGTATGTTACTGACTGAGTAACCCACAGTTTGTTACTGAGTAACTCTCAGTATGTTACTGACTGAGTAACCCACAGTTTGTTACTGACTGAGTAACTCTCAGTATGTTACTGACTGAGTAACCCACAGTTTGTTACTGACTGAGTAACTCTCAGTATGTTACTGACTGAGTAACCCACAGTTTGTTACTGACTGAGTAACCCACAGTATGTTACTGACTGAGTAATCCACAGTTTGTTACTGACTGAGTAACCCACAGTTTGTTACTGACTGAGTAACCCACAGTTTGTTACTGACTGATTAACCCACAGTTTGTTACTGACTGAGTAACCCACAGTTTGTTACTGACTGAGTAACCCACAGTTTGTAACTGACTGAGTAACCCACAGTTTGTTACTGACTGATTAATCTATAGTTTGTTAATGACTGATTAATCTACAGTTAGTAACTGACTGAGTAAAGTAAGGTTTGTACCTGACTGATTTGCATAAGATTTATAATTGACTGAGTAACCCACAGTTTTTAACTGAATAATCTTAGGTTAGTAACTCACTCAGTAACCTCGTGATTGTACCTGACTGAGTAACATAAGGTTAGTAACTGACTGAGTAATCTTAGGTAAGTAACTCACTTAGTAACCTCATGATTGACATTGTACCTGACTGAGTAACCTTAGGTTAGTAACTGACTGAGTAATATTAGGTAAGTAACTCACTCAGTAACCTAAGGATTGTACCTGAATGAGTAACCTAAGGTTAATAACTGACTTAGTAATCTTAGGTCAGTAACTCACTCGGTAACCTAAGGATTGTACTTAACTGAGTAACCTAAGGTTAATAACTGACTTAGTAATCTTAGGTCTGTAACTCACTCAGTAACCTAAGGATTGTACTTAACTGAGTAACCTAAGGTTAATAACTGACTTAGTAATCTTAGGTTTGTAACTCACTCAGTAACCTAAGGATTGTACTTAACTGAGTCACCTAATGTTAATAACTGACTGAGCCTAAGTTAGTAACTAACTGAATAACTTAATGTTAGTAACTGACTGAGTAACCTAAGGTTAATAACTGACTGAGTAACATACAGTTTGTTACTAACAGAGAAGCTTTATAATATAAGGAGGACATTCAGTCGAATAACATTACAATTATTGAGTACTAATGTGCACTTTTATCCAATCTTTCTCTGTTTACAAAATATAAAATTGAGAATGGAAATGGGGAATGTGTCAAAGAGACAACAACCCATTGATAGTTTATCAATCTAGGCACAATGAAAAGATGAACATTTTTTTTTTACTTTTTTGCTCTGACAAGGCACTTCTCACTGGACAGAGGCCAACAAATCCTAGAGAGCTACATCAATTAACACTGAGTAGTCTTGTCATAAAACTTTTAACATGTTTCAATTTTAAATAAGCAAATTACTACAATCTTAAAAGTTATCTTATCTGGTAAATAAACTAAATTTGACAAATGGAAAAGATAAAGAAACTAAACAATAACTCAATTAAATGTTGGCAGAAAACTCTCATTGCTGTTGAAATCTTGACAGATTTTTGTATTTCTTGTACAAATGTTATAAATCTGTGTTTATTTTGTTTGATAAAATCAACTGTGTAATGAATTGTGTAATTCCAAACTATCAATAATACCTTCCTCTTAACAATGCATTAGATATTTCATTTCTCATAATGAAAATTTAAAGCTTTCAATAAGATAGAAAACTCCATTTATAACAATTTTTTTTTTAACTTTATACCTACATCAGATTTGTTAAGTCTATGTGTAAAAATACATTTAAAGGTTTCTTTTATCTTGCATTTTTTTTTCATAATTAATTAATAGTTAAGTGAAAATATAATCACATGTAAAGAGTACAAAATTTTAACAAAATGTTAGCTTGGATTCTTTTGCAATCAATTGTGATAAATAATTCTAGGCAAAAAAATAAACCCAAACCATTCCTGTCCAAGTAATACCCATCTCAGATCAAGACAGACAGGTTGGTATTCCAATCTCAGTAAACAGTATAACACAATTATTGTGCAGTGGATCACTTTAACGTGAGAAATTTTTTCTATTTTATTATAAATTGCCACTTAAATTCAACTTTAGTCTTCAAAGTCAAACTTATGATTTTAATCAAGCTTGCATTGACTTTATGTAAATACCAAAATTCAAACTTTCAATCAATTAAATGTAGACAGAGAAATTATTTTGACAAACTTACTTCAACAATATGATCCTTTACTGGGGGAAACCTCAAAGGTAAAGATGACAAAAACACAGTAATTCTACTATCAATATTAGATGCAAAGATATGCATGTTAGATTTTTATCATCATGTCATGTTGACTTAAACGATTTGAACAATGGGCTTATTGGTGATTATGTTTGTTCAACCTCAAAATGGTAATGTTAATTTCAAATCTCCTTCCTGACTGTTTGATGTTCACCATCAATTTGGGAATTTTTTGATTAGAGAGAAGAAAAATAGGTTAAACTGAATATTTTAATCAATATTTAAAGACATTTTCTTTCCTTTAGGGGAAAGAAGACAATGAACTCTGTGAACTAATATTTAAATATAATTTATAAATCTTCCTTACTAATTAGCATCCTATTTACCAACTCCTAATTTTCTAAATTTGTTATTTTTCTGAGTAAGAGAATATGCTTGGCTCGTCTGTTCTGTAATGCAATGAACCATCATCTGCATTCATATAATCTTAACCATCAGGCCAATGGATAATGTGTTTGAAGGGTGAATAATGACCTTGGCTACCTAAGATGGTCTTTTAATGTCTGTATTTGGTAGTTACAAATTTTACTCTGAATATATGACTAATTTGTTGATCACAGTGTACCGAAGAAAAACAATATCAAATTAATCTCTGTAACTTTGTAACTTTCTGTTACATCAAAAACCTAGCCTAATAAAATGTAGGAATATTTTACAACAAAAAGTCAACAAAGAATCTAGACTACTTTAAACTATAACTCCCTTGAAAATGTTTGTAAAAGTTGAGGCACAACAAATGTTAAGTAAAGAGAAAAGCTCACACAGCCCTTTGGGTGAGCTTAATAAGGAAATGAGTTATGACTGCTATTGAGACAAACTATCCATCAGAGTTCAATTGACCTGGATATAAGGGCCTTTTTATAGCTTACTATACATTATGGGTTTTTCTCATTGTTGAAGGCTGTACAGTAACCTGTAATTATTCACATCTCTGTCCTGTGGTCCATGGATAGTTGTCTCATTGGCAATCATACAACATTTCTTTTTATTTTTATGAAGTCAGCAATAAAGTAGCAGTACTCTTCCAACATCCTTCATTCAATGCAGGAGATGATTATATATTAACTCAACAATCAATATATAATGCAACTTGAGTAAAACAGTTAAACAGTAAAAATGAAAAAAATAAAACAATTTGAATAACTTTTAACATCAAAACCTTACTACAATTTCATGATTTTTGATTTCAACAACCTAACAATATTAAGAATGAGAGATCATTTTCCAATCTTCCCCTCATTATATCATTAAGTGGTAAATGATCTATACCTTTCAAATGAAGACATGCAAAATTAACCATGTTTGAATGGATCATTACTGACATTGTACCCAGATAAGATCTTGTGGTTACAAATACAACCCAATTAAAATGGTTAGTACCTGTAGACTAATACTACAGCATGGCACCACTAACAACCAATTCACAATAAATCCTTGTGCAAAACTTGTCTTCTCCAATGTCAGGTACATTCTTTTTATAAGATTTGATTTTTACCTTACAAGGTTATGTCATATTATTATAAATCAAGAATTCAGACGTTAATAGCAGACTGAAATATGATGTGATTAATAAGCAAAGTTATATTTCTTCTCATCAAATGACATGCAATGTATATTTCTTATTTTCTAATAAATTTGCTTGCTTTCCTCCTGAAATTAAATGTTATATGCTTCACTCGTGAACTGATGATTGGTAGTTACCTAATGTCCAGTGTCAAATATTACATGTATACACAAAATGTATCAACATAAACAAAATATTTTTCTTCATTAGATCCCCTTTTTGATTAATATTGATCAGGATCACCAATAAAACACAAGGATGTGCATAAACCAGAGAAACTATATTACAAAAGGGGCTAAAAGGTTTATTCTTTGGTTAATTTAAATAACCAGATTGTGGAAGAAAGAAAATAGAAGAGTTTTGACTGACACTGGAAAACAAGGGTATGAAATTAACACTTGCACTATGTCATCTATTGGGAAGGATACTGCATAACTGTATATAAGTTTATTGACAGTCTGTGAACTCCATATAACTGACAATTATAAGATAACTTTATATTACAATGTAAAAATGAACTTTAATAACTCAAAATTCAAAGTTGATCGTAATTAGTAAACCCCATTGGTCATCAAGGTAAAAAAATACATTCCTAAAATAAAATGATTATGCCTTTCAACACAGGTAATAATGTGTTTTATTTAGGTGTATGATCCTATGGTCCCTTAGGCTTCCAAGGTGACATGATTGTTTATAGTTATGTCAATGAAATATTACTCCCAGTTATTATCCTGAACTGTAAATAATCATATTGTTTAATGTAGCAGTAAGAGACCTGGGTTCTCGGTCAACAAAATTTGTGCTTGAAAC